TTCAATTTTGCTGCAATCAGAACTAAAACAACTCACTCCTGCAGTCACTGACGGTATCGTTCCAAGTGGCATCGTTTTGGCAGGTCACGTATTTCACCGTCTCGTTATCCGTGAACTCGTAGCCAGTATTACAGCTGTATGTGACGGTGGTAAAGGCAGCGGTGGCCGTCGTGTCTGGGGCGCCGTTCTGTATGGTTTGAACGGCTGGGCAGGTTTTAACTGAAACGATAATATGATGTATGATAATACGATAATATGAGTAACCCGTTTGGCGCCGTCTTCTATATTATCCTCGATCTCATGTAATTAGTGATATTCTTTATCAACAGATAATCATGCATTATATACTTGTCAGGTATTTTTCTTTTTTGTAAGAGAATAAATATGCCATTATTTAGGGAAAAAACTGACATGTAGGCATTATGACAAATTTAGGAACATGTCTGTGATTATTATGGCCATGCAAGTAGAAATAAAGCCCCGCCATTACACAGAGCAGGAGGCTTCTTTTGCGGACAAAATTAAATAAATAAATAAATGAATAAATAAATAAATAAATAAATAAACTCACGTGTACAATGCGGTGGTGTGACGTTCCACATGCCGCTGGCATTGCATGAGATGATCATTTCCTTCACTCCGGGTGAAAACTGGTACCCGTTGTGACACGTGTAGTTCAACTCGGACTCGAACAACGTGTTGTATCCAGGCTCTATATCTGCGTTATTTACGGTGGGTGGGGTCGAGCAGTTTTTCCCTGGATAGGTTTTTATTTTTGATATGGTTATTGACAATACAAATATCATTTTTGACGGATGCACTTACGCTTCCTCTACAGAATACCAATATAATGGATTTTTAAACCAGTAAGAGACAAGAAACAACTGAATGAAAAGAAGGTTATCTTATTTTTTGTGTTTACATTATTTAGTTAAAACATTTTCAGTCAATTTAACAATCGCATAGATACACCCGTGCAGGCACACACACACACTTACAGAGAGAGAGAGAGAGAGAGAGAGAGAGAGAGCAGTATACTTACTAGTACAATCGCTTAGAGTCTCAGACCACAACCCTGAGTCGAGGCACTCCACGGCCTTGTTCTCTGTGCCGTCACTGTGCTCATAGCCTGAATGACACTGGTACCCGATCACGTTGCCGATGACATTCAGAGTCGAATTTGTCGTGGCATGAGTCAACGTCTGCGCTGTTGGACATTCTAAAATGAAAATAAAAAGTTTATTTCATGTATATAATCAGTGTGCAGAATATATTACATGTATCATTCTCATATTTTACAATCCACAACGATGTTCCTATCACCAGCTACAGATCTCTTTCTCGGTTATGTGTGCGATGTGTGTAGTTGGTATCGGTGTTTTCATTAATGTATGCAGAGTATATGCTCCTGGTTTTATACAATTTTGAGAGAATTAATAAAAAAAAACAGAACAAAACATAAACGAGTTCTTACCCCCTGGTCTTTCACAGATATATCCGTTGACGGTGGTGGCGCAGTTCTCGTCAAACCAGTAGGCCCCTGGCCCAAACACGACACAGTCTCCGTCGCCATTGGGCTCGGCCACGGGGGAGAGACCCCAGTTGAAATATGTGGTGTTTTCGTTGTTATTCAGGACCCACAGAGATGTACTGGTATTTTTAGTGAGACCAATCCAAAATTTCTGACTCGATCCCAATCCGGCGGGGCTGAAATACATTTAATTCTATGTGCATTATCTATTTTTTTGGTAACTGATCAACTGTTTATATTCTAGGATTTTTTTTTAGTTCTTTATTGGTTGAACAGAATTTTATGCACAGACACAAACAACTACCTTCTTCACATTATTGCACATGCGCCAAGTTTAAAAACATTGGACAACAATGTAATCCAATGAAGTATTGAGTAAAAAAGATGTTAAAAAGACTTAAATATTTAGAATTACACAAATATGCATCTGAACACATTCACTCACGTAATACTTGAAATCCTGGTGTTCTCCCCACTGTCTGCCACGGTGGCCAGATATCCTCCCAAACCCTGGCAGGCAGTTTCTGCCGCGGAGTAGTCGACACTGCCAGTCTTCCTGATGTAGCAGAAGCCCTGCTCCAAGGACCATTGGTTGGAAGGACAAGCGGCGCCTTTGGAATAAGTGCAAATCAGAAGCCATATTAAAATGTTCTTGCCGTAGCATTTGAGCTTTAAACTGAGGAAGCGTGAAATGCGTTCTTTTTTTGGTGTGAGTTTATGAATCGTAGGATGTGGACGTTTTAACAGATAAGACATCAAAATCTCTAAAAGGGATTGCAAAAAGAACACAGGAATGGTCATTTAATAATAATTAAGTTTTTCGCATAATATCATTTGATGGCCAGATATAACAGAACTAGGTGTGTTGAGCGGATACGTTTGTCTCATACATATAATTAACCTTTAAGCCACTAATTTAGCCTTCAATTTCAAAATTACTTGTGTCTAAAATATGGGTCTAACATTAATCCCAGCACATACCTTTCACATGGTGGATTAAGCAGAAGCCAAAAAAGACAATTGCTACAATCTCCTGAAATAAAAAATGAGTGTGTTTTAAACATGAGTGTGTTGAAAAAACAAAGGAATATCATTTTACATCGGAGCTATTACCCAAATACCCAACTGACGTAAATATTTTATTGCAATAATTACATATGATAGGCCTCTGGCGCATGTCTATTATGGAATTTGATTCATAAGTATACAGAATATTTATTTTGCCTACCACAATGGTAAATCCGCAGTTTTCGATATCGGTGTATTAAACCTGGAAATCGATTTCCGATACGTTCTTTATGCAGCCCGAAAAGGCGTCCCGCACAACCCAGATACAGAAAACCAGTCGATAAAAACACCTTAATAAAATATGCCAACCTAACTTCAGATCGATAACAAATGGGTAACAAATAGGAAACTGCTGAATACTTACACGTTTAGGGTTAATTTTCGAATGTCACATTCTAATTCAATGCAAAACAACAAATATTTTAAAGTGATTTTGATAACTTCTGATTATCATCTGATCAATATTGATAGTCAAGCTTGCATTTTAGTTATATTAAGGAAATTGGATCACGGTTTCTCATCATTTTCACTTATTCAGTAAATTCAAATTGAAATCTACTTCTGTAGCTCAGGCAATAGCATTTGCCAATTTACAATGTTCTGTACACTGATATACTACCGTGTTAGATATATATACTAAGAAACAAAGATATAGATATGTACTAAGAAACATTTAATCCCAAAGAGACCGTCACCGCATACGTTTTGTAAGTTGCAGAAATAATACCTGAACAATTTTTATAATTAACATCAAACCATATGTCTAAAAGGGACGTTCGAGTGAATTTGGAGCAGAAATTGGCGACCTATTTGTATGTTCATTTACACCAGCCTGATCATTTGCAATTAAACATCATTAGAAAATCATCAGTATGAGAACAGTTTAGTACATACAATGCGATATGGTCTTACATGTACAGGACGCACTTACCTTTCCCTTCATAATGGTAAGTAATCCTAAACGTATGGAATTATACATATCCGTCGTGTTCAGGTCATATTGTGTCTGTGGAAAACATGTCCTATGACTATACTAAATCAGTTATTTAACAAGAGAAAAATAAAGAAGTCAGCTTCTCTCCGCCATTTTAGTTAACTAAAGCTTTTGGAACTGATTTTAAAGAAAGGAAATCGATATATCGCAAGGCAGCTAATAAACAAACGTCGGTAAGGTCAATACGAAGACAAAGCATTTGTAACAAATCAATCAGAAAATTTGATCCAAAATCGTTTAAGAAATGCCAAGGTCAGGTAAAGTTGTTCGTGGGCCGTTGAAGGAAAAACACGGAATCACAAGATCTACCACAATAGTTACTTCGAAACACATTCTTATTTCTTGTTCTTTCAAACTGAGACAGTATATTTTGACCGCTCGTGAGATTGTTTCCATAATATTCTTTTTTAAAGTATTCACTTTTTAACAGTCTTTACAGGTCTTTAAAGCAGGTTAAACCGTTTTGCAACAAAAATATACATATTCAAAATTGCTCCTTTGCGAGACTGGAAAAAGCATAGTGTTCCCATGTCATAAGCCATGCACTGGCATTTCTTTATTTCAAGTTAGAAACTCGACAGAGATGGTCAGTAACCACCATAAGAATGTCAATGACACCACAATAACGCATTTAACTTTCTATAAATGACAATTTTCACATTACACCAAACCACAAACACACCTCCTGATTAACTAATTCGTTTATTAAATAGCACAGTAGCTTTAAATCTGCAGAACGTACGACAGGGGTGAAGCGTAGACAATGCTGTTGCAGTCATGACCGTCACACACCGGTAACTTATAACGAGAGGAACACCAAATTGTTGACGGATTGTTTCTGGATAGCACACAGTATTTATTTTTACACTTGGATTAGAATAATCTTTTAATTTTAAAATAAAAAAATTCCTCTGTAACAATTTTACAGGTGTTTTATCTCCCCGCCATGGCCTCCTCTATCTCCTTTTTCCTTGCATGCCGCCCCTGGAGTTTGCGCTTGATGTTTGCATTCACGTTGTGAAACTGTTCCATCTGACGCACCGCCGTCTGCAAATGCAATCAAATTTAATTTTAGATAAAGGACTAGAAACAACCAACAAGCAGCAGCTTAAGATGTTATAGGCATATTTTTATACACATATTTCATGTAAATTAAACAATCAAACTATTGATGCAAAATGGGGTTTGTCAAATTTCTGATGACATTTGAGTCCCCTCTTAATACACAACTTATTGTGAACCACTTAATTTGCAGTCCACAGGGAAAAAAAAACAAAACAAACTAGCCAAGTTTGGTTGTTTGCATCATAAAGTAGACCCGCAATGCACAGTACTTCAAACAGTATTGTTTAAAACACACATCGTGTCTTTCCTTTAAAACATCAAACCAAGCTCGTCAATTCTGATCTCTCTTCCTAACTGGACATCACAATCTTCAACTTTATTTAACTTTTTTCAAATTTCCAATTTGCCTCCTGTCACAGACTCTTTTATCTTACCGTCTGCAATCAGAAATAGTCGGAAATATCAAAGAACTATTTTTCATTATTTTGTCTCCAAACCAGACGTGCTTACCTCAATCTGCCACAACAGCTCCACGTCCCAATTATGGATGACCAGACTGGTGACAAAGCCAGGCTGTTCACTGCCCACTCGCCCCACCCTCCCAACACGGTGGATATAGTCCGACATGAAGCGCGGGAAGTCAAAATTTACTATATGCTGAACCTGAAGTTTTGAAAATCAAAACGTAATTAATGTGGTTTAAAAATCTTTTAATGAGATTGGGGGAGGTGAAGTTTACCAATGAGGCATGTTTTGATCCTTCATTTAGGGGCTTGATCATGCATTGATTTTTGGAGAATATGCTCACTAATTTAAAGCAATATATTTCTACATATGTGTAAATCTAATATCAATAACTGTTTCAACAGTTCAAAGGAACTTTTGATCTGATACCTCTCATTGCGGGTTGCTCTTTTAGCTCTAGATAGACAACTATGATATGGATAGTGGAGAATGATAATGAGCAGTGGTCAACTCTTCCTAACAATGACAATCTCATAACCATAAACAATATCCTCAATTGTCTTTATATTAACTGATATCATGCGATAATAAAATTATTTTATGAAAATCCCTGGAATTTTTCAGGTGATGAATTATTTCAACATACCCACGTGGTATCCAGTCCCCTTGAGGCAATATCAGAGCAGATAAGGATGTTGAATTCTCTTCTACGAAATCTTTGAAATCTTCCTGCCCTTTCCTAAAATATAAAAATTGATCAGCATTAAAAACTCTACTTTAGACTTTGACTGTAAAACAGGAGTGTTTATTTAAATTATTTTCTTTTTCACCTTTCTGTCCAATTGTTTATGCAACTCCATGCACTCCACCCCATTCTCCTTGAGGAACCTGGACAGCCAGTAGCATGTCTTGACGCTATTACAGAACACCATTACAGGAACTTCTTTCCTCTGCAACTCTCTGGCTAGTTTCAGCATGTATTCTGAAAGAGTTATTGCTGAACAAAGTTAATAACAATTTTCTTCAGTTGTTTTTTCAAGGCACTTCATCTTACAAATAAGATCAAATAAATGTTTAAAGATAAAGAAAAAACCCTGTGCATCATATAGCATACTTTCAGTGCAAAGTTTCTTTTACACTTAAAATTAATCAATGAAGAAATACAGTATAAAACTAACCTCCTTGCTTTTTGGGTGTAAGTCTGACAAACTTCTGTGGCACATGAGGCATCAATTTGTGCAAGTGCTTTGTAGTCACTTTGGTAAAACTTTCAATCTGTAATATAAAAGAAAAGATGCACCTCTTCTTTCTGTATGCAAGAGCTTCCAGTTATCAATCAAGGTCATTAAAATAAAAACAACTTGCTAGTGAAGAAGCATTTGATTTCTTTGATAGCCGTTTACTATTTATATTTTACTATGTTATTCAACTGCTAATATAAAATGCTCTTTTCTTCAAGAACCCTTCCTATGACATAAAATGAACACTTCAACTAAGAGTTATAGTAACATACTCTAAATATTAGGAAAATAAGTATTTTCAGTAAATCATTGCAAAAATAATGAAACATATTTTCCTTTATATTATTGTCAGAACAGCAAAGAAAATGTGTGATTGCCAACACAAGCCTTGTTGAGAGGCAAGACAAATCTCTAATGACACGAGACCAACTGGAGAGTGACTGTCAGGAATAGTGCATGACAGGTGGTCACTTACTGGAGCTATGTCCTCTAACACTGTATCCAGTCCCCGGGGCAGTGTGGCTCCCACTATGGCCAACTGTGCAGCCCCCAGCATACCACTGGCACTCTGACCAACCTTTAGGAAGGGCAACAATAATAAAGATATATCAAACAGTTGAGCAAAAAATTTAGAGGGACAACCAAACTGAAGTGAACAAACAAATAATAGACAGACACAGGATGTAATGATAAAATTATTTCCTCTCTGGGTGTTCACACGGAATTTTGTTGACCTAGCTAATGTTCAATAACTCTATTGGGAAAATTTTGAATAAAATCTTTCATTTTGTGAACTTCTGAAACAATTAAGATGCCAGTGTGTTTGTATCATACCTGTATATTTTTGAACAAGCGACTGACAAATGTAGCGAAACTATCATCCAGTAGAGTGTCACCTTCATCCAGAACCAAGTGCTCCGCTGCACTCAAATCAAAATGACCTATAAAATATATATGTATATTACATACATTTTATTTATAGTATATGTATAGTACATACAGTTTATTTATAGTATATGTATAGTACATGTGAAGCAGCCTATCCAGTGATAACAATTATATTCTTTTATATGCATGATCATTTAATATCTTATATATGTACAACTAAAGTTTGACCTCTAGTTATAAAAATTTGATCATAATTTACCTTCTTTCATGGCTGAAATTAATGTTCCAGGAGTGCCTACCACCATATCTACTTTTTCCTTTTTTTCGAAAAACTGGAATAAAATTCACTGATTTATCATATCACACAAACAGCTCTTTATGGTAAAGAGTTTCATTTATATTGTTATTTTCTTTAAAAAATCTAAATCTTTAATGCCAGGTGAAAATTACTTGTTTAAATTTCTTTTTCATTGTTGTTATTTGCAGCAAAAAGTAATGTTATTACAATAAAGTAATATAATGATATGCCAGAAGTTTTTTACATTATACTCTCTGGTACTTTAAATAATATTAACACTACTTGAACTACATGACAGTTTGTTCTTTTCAGATTAGATTTTGTAACAACTCTGAAGTAGTGCAGTACCTTTGCTTTATGTCCACCACTCAAAGCAAGCACCGAGAGATGTAAATTATCCATTATTCTACGTGCAACATACTGAAATAAACATTGAAAAAATAACATTATAAACTTGTGATTACTTAACCTTTAGTCAATCTGATATCCTTTTCAAAACATTTTCATTTCCTAAATCATCAATTACTAAATCCATTTGGAGAAAATCAGCTTTTAAAAAAACATGATAACTTCTCATGCTCTGTGATATGTCAATCTCTGAACAGGCAAGAAAAAAACTCTTGGTAGAATCTGTATCAATCTGACTATAATTTACAAACATTTTCTGCTATGTCCAGTTAAACTTAATGCACATCATACCCTAGAATGTTTGAAATAACTCACATAAACCTGATCCACCAGCTCTCTTGCTGGAACAACTATTACACTTCGTGGACAGTTTGGGCGTTGGTCGAGCCCATCAAATGGATTAATTTTCAGCATGTGAAGGATGGGTAGCAGATACGCAAGAGTCTTCCCACTCCCTAGAAAAAAGGCGAGAGGAAAAAACATTATATATAAGAAAAATTGAGAAGAAGAATGGCAGCTACTGTATTTCTATGAGTCAATAATAACATCAGATTTTAAAGAAAGTTTATTTATATCATACACAATGTAACTATTGCACAATGAAATTACTTTATCAAAAATGCAAATCAAAGTTTCATACCTGTTTCTGCAGCACATATCACGTTGTTATTGTTTAGCATCTCTGGGATTGTTAGAGCCTTAAAAAAGTAGATTGCAAAATTGTACCTCCAATGTATTTCATGTACTAGGTTATCTAGAATCTCAATATTGTAATCAAAACTCAAACAAAACTGTATCAGAATTCTCAATCTGAATTAAATGCCATTAATATCCATTGGTGCACAATTTGGATTATTAAAAAAAATTCAAACATGTACTTTCATGTTGGTGTGAGGTTATCAACATATGTAATGCTAATAAATAAATACCACAGTTTCTTAAACTATGTGTATCAGTACCTAAAAATCTTAAATTTCTTATCTGCAACTGTCCTTTACTGCCAAGTTTATGTAATTCAGCTTCATACTTTGAAGAATAGGGTTTGAAATTGACTGAACAGGCCTGTAGCCAGGTGGGGGGGTTCGGAAGGTTCGAAAGAACCACCCCTTTTGCTGGGAAAAGGTCCAGTCTGGGTAAAATTTGATCTAGGTACATGAAGTTTTTATGGGAAAAGGTCCACTTTTTCAGGAAAAGAACCCCCCTTCTGAAACTGCTGCTGAAGACAGTAGAAGTTTCCCCATGCCAGTCTTACATATACCTGTACGTGGGTGGGCTTACATATACCTGTATGTGGGTGGGCTTACATATACCTGTATGTGGGTGGGCTTACATATAACTGCATGTGGATGGGCTTACATATACCTGTATGTGGGTGGGCTTACATATACCTGTATGTGGGTGGGCTTACATATACCTGTATGTGGATGGGCTTACATATACCTGTATGTGGGTGGGCTTACATATACCTGTATGTGGGTGGGCTTACATATACCTGTATGTGGGTGGGCTTACATATACCTGTATGTGGGTGGGCTTACATATACCTGTATGTGGGTGGGCTTACATATACCTGTATGTGGGTGGGCTTACATATACCTGTATGTGGGTGGGCTCCTTTATGTTCATGCTATGCAAACTTTTCGTAATTGCTTCATGGAGACCAAAGTCTTCAAATTTTAAGCCACTTTGGAGTGCAGGGTTCTACAAAGTGAGATTATTTCAATAACACAATTTAATAAAAAAAAAGGTTACATTTGTAAAGTGGTACGTACACAGCAACATACATGACATTATCAATATCTTAATGCAGTTGGCTCTGCCATTCCACATTTTTTTTCACAATTAACAGTAAAGTTCAACTTTTTTCTAGTGCTCCTTCATGTGTCTACTTGTTCACATTTATCGATCAGCTGTATTAATATAAGTTATTCTGTATATATCTCTTTATAAAAGTACTAGTATCAAACTTACTGGTCTTTTTCCATTTATGACAAAATAGTCACCCACAGACTTGTGATGCTTCCATCCATGTGAAGCCAACAGTTCTGGTTTAAACTTTGAGAATGCCTCCCCAGTGTAGTGATTGTAGGCTTTTCTCTTGCACTTGATGATCAGTGGACCCTTAGGCCTAAGTCTTAGATAAAAAAGAGGATATAGCTAGGCGATTGCAAGCCATGTGAGTATGGCAGTGGGAATCAATTCCATGTACATTTACAGATAATTGTTTTCACTGATAATGATGAGATTTTTCTTCATCATTTAAGGTTCAAATTCAAATGTAATAGATACATACATGTATAATTCATAAATGCAGATACTCCATATATACATGGCCTCAAATAATATATCTAAAATAATAAATCATACAGTATGCACAGGAGTAAATAAGGATTTAAAACAATAGGATCATGTTAGTTTCATACTGAAATACCAGTATGAATATATGTATGGATTCTCTTCAACAACCTACATTGCTTACTTTTCGTTCATTTTTTCAATCCGCTCTACTTCCTTTCTAATCAGAGCTTTCTGGATCTTCTTCACCAAAGGCTGTGGGACAGTGATGGTGGGAGAAGGTTCTTCATTGGAGAAGTATGCCTGAAAATGAAGTGACATTAAATGTCCCTAAACTGTAATGTGTAAGACACGCTAAGTACTGTAAGTGTAAAATGGAGCAACGTTTTTTGGAGTTAGGAGCCGTAGATTCTACTACAAGTAAGAGTGAACTAATCTTTAACAAAAAGATAATGCAAAACAGCTACGTTAGAGTTAAGTAAATCAGGCTTACCATACACCGTCTGCACAACGAAAAATGAATAGGAGAGTGTAAACGAAGAACTGCTTCACGTCCCATGTTTGTAGCGAACATCGTGTTAGGTTGCAGTATCGACATCAATTACTTACCCTTTTGACATTTTGATTTCCGCTTCCGTTTATTAGATGGGATGTGATATGTGAGGATTATTTTTGAAATTTATTTGCCATGGGTACTAATTTACCCAATATTTTTGCCCCAAAGATTGCAACATTCGTAGAATCTCTCCTGACTGAAGGAAAAGTTGGAATATGTGCTGGGTCTGTGCGAGTAACAGACATAAAATCAGGGTAAGAAAATCTATCTGTCCAAGGGAGACTGAGATACATCACATCCTTTCAATTTTTCTCAATCATTATGATGTCTTTGTCACTGTGTCACTGACTTGCATTAAGTGATACATTTCAGACACCGTGAGCTCCAATATATGTAAATCATGTGCTTGACTAATTTTCTGAATAAAAGAAATCACTCATGTAAACCCTAGGTAATGAAAAACATTTTTGAATAATTTCTTTTTTAAAATTTCATCCTGACTGCTACGCCTTTTTCTTCAAGGGCTCCATCTCTGACCAACATACCATGTGGTGATAGATTTAAAGTGGTTATTCCCTATGCTGGAAATTCTCTCACGTGTGAGTATGGAGCATCAAATATAATCACATATAGCATATCAGAAAAGGTAAATGGGAGTGCTAACACATGAAAGATATAGGTGCACACAACTGTATAATGATGGTCACCTAGTGGCTCTGCCCAGATATTTGCCCAATATTTTGCTTACCTGTGACCTCAAGTCTCACATTTCTGTAAAGGGAACCAGTTTTGGAGGAGAACGAGGTAAAAATTACATGGCTGTACATGTTACTTTATTTTAGGGGAGATTATATTCAACAGTTGTTCTCCAGATGATCCACCAGATTTCCTTTTTAGTGCAGAAGACAAGGACTTTTGGCCACAAATTGAAAATATAAGTGTAAGTTGATACACAGAGATGAAGTGTAGATTTTATGCTCTCCTTAAAAAAGTTTGTCTTTAGAAGTATATTATAGTATTTAAGGTTTAACTTAATTTTAGAAGTTTTGATAGTTGATAACTTCAGTAACCATATGTATATTTCACATTTATATTGTATGTTATTGTTCAGTTTCCCACTATATATGTTACTGAGCATATTAAATGACTAATGGCTATTCACAAATATATGGTACAGAACAAGCACCTTAATTTATTTTTAGTTTTTAACCTTGGTAAATGAATCTATTTCTAGAATTTATTTTCTAAAGACTGAATTTGTTATCTCTTCTCCAATTTCAGCATTTAGCCAATTGGGACAATACAAATCCCAGGTCTCTTTTTCTGGTCATACAAGAACTGTTGGAAGAATACAAAAAATATCACCAGTCTCTGAAGGATGAGAATGCCAGACTGCAGTGGGAATATAATGCTTTGATGGAGCAGGATAACTTTAGTCCAGAGAATGTGGAAGTTTGGGTCAATAAAAAGGGCAATGTAAGTGTTGTGGATTAAATGTGTCAGCTGTGTTAATTATACATATGAAAATTATCATTTGTGTAATTTCAGTAGAAATACTGAATAGTTCTTTTGTTGATAGCTTTTGTTACCAACATGTCACAATGAGGATGCTGTTGTTATATTTATTTTTCCCTTTTGAAGTCTGACTGCAAGCAGACAAAATAATGGATGTTTAAGTAGTGGTTTATTCTCAGGCTGTCGACATTCAAGAACTGCTACATTTCTATTCAAGAAAGTTGATATGTTTCATTATCTTGCACCACATTAAAAAAAATACCACCAACTTAATATCACTTAATTTACTTTGATTCATGTATGAAGAGTATTAATGCAAATTTTATAACCCTACTAACAGCACGATACTTATACCAGGAAAGTAAATTATTTAAATGTGTTTTTATTTTTTTTCAGAAAAACTGTTGAATTATATAAAATGCATGTTTATGCTGTAATCCTTATATATTTCAGAGACTAGGCCCTATCAATTTTCTGATGAGGTTGGATGTAGATTTCTCCAAAATACCACCCTACCTTATAGGAGTATGTATATATTTATGTTATGAAGCATGATTGCTAAATGCAAGCAAAATACACCTTACAAAGAATTGTTGATAAAATGATACCATCGTTCCTGTTGAAAACTTCATATATATATATCTAAAAACTCGTTATATTTTAATGTTATTTTAATAAATGTTCAGCATTTCAAAAGCCTTGGTCATATATTTTATTTAAGTGGTGTAGAGAAATTATGGGAAAGTGCTTTCAATTTATATTTGTGAGGAGTGTCGTTAAACAGACACAGATTACTATGTAATTGGAGAGGTGTGCATAACTTTAACTTTATCTAAGAGTTGTGGTTGTTCACCAGGTGATATGGAACTCACATTATTCAAGTTGATTATCTTGGAGAGGTTCAGTAACACTATACAGTACATACTGGTTTTTGGAGTTTCAGAGAATAATATAACTGTCAAGTTTGTTCAATTTGACATGATAATTTCCACTTCCAGTGCAGTCCTGGTGAAGACTCTGCAGTCCTGTTGGTAACATTCCAGTACCCAGACGGAGGGAAGGTCTTACCACAGTTGTACTTGTCACCCAGAGTGGAACAGTAAGTAACTCAGTTGAATTAATAAATAAGTAAATTGAATTAATTCATTATACAATTTTGTGGTTCACAAGTCGTAGTTTAACTTGACTTTTGAAGTAAATATTGTGCTTGGAATAATAGGATTAAAGAAGAAATTGATTATTTTGAACACAAACATTTTAATGATATTTTGAAAGTTCTTACAACATTTATTAAATTATATTTCATCAGTTTTTACTGCATTGCCTGATGGAGTTTGATATATATAAATATCTCTAAGTTATTTATATATTCCCAGTGCCCTTGGTGGTGCAGCTAACCTTAGAATTCCTGCTTTCCCAAGTGGAGGTTGCCTGATTGATTATGTGCCAAATGTTAGAGAGTTGTTGAAAAATAAGGTATTATAAATAACTTATCTGAAAATCTGTTCATTTATAAGTATTTCCACAATATGACCACTTATGCCAGAATAAGTACTGGAGATATGGCAATTGCTGAAGATAAAAATAAAGAAAAGTTTTGTTTTCCAGGTTGATCAGATTGTACAAGGACATGACAGAAGGAAAGAATATGTAGCAGCTTGCCTTAGTGCATTTGGAAGGTATATTACGTAATACCAGTGGAGTTGTTCATTTGAAAACATGTACTTTTTATCTTAGAGTCTGTGCTTGCACAAATTTGGTTGGTTGTGTAACCATGTTAAAACTAAGGCAAATATCCTTTATATTTGTTGAAACAAACCTGAAGGTTTTACCTTCATGAAGTTGTTATGTATACAAAAATCCATTTGTGTTATTGGTGACATTGTATATTTCAGGTCAATTATAGAATATGATGCTGAAAGCTTTTTCAAGATTTCATTTCTACTGGAATGGAATGATTTCTTTTTCATAGTGCACAGTAAGCTCATCACTTATCATTTATGTAATTATAATATTGTCATTTATTATTCGCCATAAGTGACTTTGGTGAGGACTTATAATTGTTTAAGAAAAAACTGAACCTTGTGTTACAGATCCCCTGTATACAAAGAGGAAAAAATCTTTAAATGGTGTAATCCATAATAGAAATGCGTAATTACACCCTAGTCGCTGTCATGTACTATCATCCTAGCTACTGAATTTTACAGATAGGATGATAATAATGATTATTGTTAAGTTGTATGTTTATAGACTTGGGCAGTTTGGCTAGCAGATACTTGTATGGATTTCTATCCCTTATACTTCTGTTTTCAGTCGAGTTACCCCTGTACTTCCCAGTGGACAGTCCCTCTCTCACTGTACAATCAGTCTACCATGAGTCCGGGGGAAGACCATACAGTAAAGTGACCAGGGAGTACCCCTATAGTCCAAGGTGGTCTGGGAATGAAATGGTAGAAAGAGTCAGGTAAGATTCATATTGCATTAGTCTTTCATTTGCAGAAATTATAATTTTTGTTTTCTTGTATTTAAAAAAAATGCATAGGCAGTTAGAAAATACAGCACTGCAGCTTTAAAGGAATTTTTGACATATGACATTTTCATCTTAGAATAAATAACTTTTAACACTCAAAGATTTATCTTTTACTAAAAGAAATGTGTTTGTGCTGTAGCATGTTTCTACTGTACTAGCTGCCATGATTGTACAATGTATTGATGTTACTCCAGTATGATGATGATGATGATGCTCAGTATTCAGCTGCTGTAGTTATAGGAACATCTTACTGTTGCAAATGGCCTTTTTTCACTTAAAACCACTGTACATAATCTGTGGTGATCATATTTAGCTCTTGGAGTATCTTACCATTTCTTAACGTTATTAGACCATGTTTCGGGTCTGCCTATTGCCAGTAGTTTTGTGCATTATAGGTCAGATTTTACTTTGACAAAGCCCAAAGCCTTTTTTCTTACAGTACGTATGCAAACATAGACTGCCTAAATTGGACTGCCTCTGTGGAAAGTGGCGTGGTATTGTGTATTTTGTGCAGTCTTGTTTGAAGTTAGACCATGATATCTATGTATTTGACATTGCAATGATGGGCATTGAAATTATCCATGGTTACTTTAACAGCCTCCAAGCAGTTAGTTGTACATTTGTATAGCATTATTTACTAGATGTAATATTCATTTAATTTCAGAACATATCTGCTTGAAAATATTGCAGCTTTTCAAAGGGCCTCAGTACAGAATGGCAGTCTTTCATGACTGAGATGGACTGAAGTTGGCAAGTTCTTCCTGCCTCTGTAAAAAAGNGTAACTTTTACAGCCTCCAATCAGTTTAATAGTTGTACATTTGTATAGCATTATTTACTAGATATAATATTCATTTAATTTCAGAACATATCTGCTTGAAAATATTGCAGCTTTTCAAAGGGCTTCAGTACAGAATGGCAGTCTTTCATGACTGAGATGGACTGAAGTTGGCAAGTTCTTCCTGCCTCTATAAAAAATAAACCTGCATTTGCCTTTGCCATTGAATGGCAGTTTGAGACAGCATTACTGGCGGTTCTATCTGGTGTGAACACCTTAAGCTTGGTGATATATGTGGATGCTATTAATTATTGAATGGATTAACTCTTATGTGAGAGACATGGTTTAAAGCAGCAGTATCAACAAAGACAAAGAAAACCTGTTTTAATGCATTAAAAGATTTATTAACAAATGGTCAGAATACATAACCAGAGAGGAGTATTTTTCATGGCAGTGAAGAATTTATATCAACCTTTCAAATTTCTGGCTTACTTGTTCTGATATATCTTGTAAAAAAGCTGCTAAATCAGTTTTACTTGGAAAAGTTGTAGAAAAAAAAAAGAAACTCGCTAATTCAGTCATGTAATATCATTCTTGACTTGTACCTTTTAGTGTTAACTATTATACATAAATACCATTTTAAACAATTCCATATTTATATAAAATGCAATTTAAAATGATTGAGGGTACTGTGCCTTGTATTTTCTCTTTTGTATATTGAGCCTTAATAGTCTTCTGGAATTATTGAACATCAGTTTACAATTATTGGACATTTGTAATCTCATAGTGAAAAAAAAATCATTTGTGAGACAGTATCACTTAATGATAAATAAATTATACTATGCCTAATATGTCTTTTAAGATATGCCTTTTATTAAAATACATTATATTCATATACACTTACACCCTACACTTATTAATTTCATTTATTCGTACTCGATAGTAACGGCTTCCTCAGGGTGCTCATTGAAATATTCTTCCATTCTCTCCAGAATGGCATACTGTAAACAGAGGAAACCTTGTAAAAGTTTGGTTTTCTCAGCAAAGAGTTTAGCCTCAGAACCTGGAACACTTGCTTTAATGAAATTTAAGAACTGTTGCCTTTGTGGTGTGTGCAGACAGAGGGGGAGAGGAAACTTCCCATCAGTTCTCACGTAATGGATGACGGCTTCAACCAGCTGGAGCGGAATGATCTCTCCCTGCATGAATAATTTCTCAACCTGTCTTTCGCTGAAGTTTTCTGGGACAAAGTTGGAAATCTGGTTAAAGGCTGCCAATGCTTCCAGCCAGGTGAGGGTGATGTTGCTGGGCAGGTAGGGTAGGTGACTTCTTTGGGATCCACACTCTGATCCCTCTGATATATACCCCATGATATCTGGGCACTGGATGCTGTACTGGAGCTCTAGGGCGCCTTGGTACGCTAGGGTCCTGTCATTGCTTGACCAGGACTTCAACATGTTGTATTCTGGCAGGAAATAGGATGGGCAACTTTGGGTCTTTAAACACTGCAGAAGTTTTTTGATGAGTAGTCCCAGTTTGTCTGTGTCATTTTCACAGTTTCTTTTGGAAACGTCACTGACAACGTGGCAAAGGAGATTTCTTACAAGTTCGTCAGTCATGGCAGTGTCTATGAGATAAACGTGACAGAGCTTTTTGAAAGTAGCAAAGCTGTGTCTCCACTCTTCACAGAGAGAATTTATCATGGTCTGACATGGAAGGTCAAAGCAGAAACGCCACAGCAAAGAGCTGTTATTGTTCTGAGATCTAGCTGGTACAATATGGCAGCCAAGCTCCCTGGCTTTGGCCAAGGCCTCTTTACAGGGCCAGAATATGTCCGTCTCTTGTGGCCAAGATTCACATGGAACAGCAAGTGTTAGTAGATCAGAGTGGAACTGACTCTGAACCCAGCTTCCTTCCTCACAGAGGCTGTGAGTGATACACTGTAGTCCACTGCCATTGTGATTCTGCCCCACATAGCACATCATTTGTGAGTGTGTGGGATTCTGAATACTTGCACAATTACTGCATGCAGATAACAGGCTGCAACTGTGGTGAATAGATTCCTGAAGTAAAGTAGGTGACACTAAAACCTCATTTCCCTTTTTTTCACAAAATTTGATCCACTTGGGATCAAGCCTGGGTGGATCATTTAGCTTCAGGTAGAATAGTCCTGGGACAGTCCCTGGAACCACACTGAGTGGGGTATTGTTTGACAGCATACAGTTGTTATTGTCAGTGAATGATATTGACACTGCAGACATGGGTGTGGTAAGTTTTGGTGTCAAAAAGAGCTGTCTTTCGTTCAAAGATGTGGTCTTAAGTTCTGCATCAGACAGTTCATCTGAAGATATGGTTGAAGTCTCAAATAGATCTACCCTTGAAGACTGAAATTTCTGCTCACACGAATCAATCAGATGGAAGTTGAAATCTTCCAAGTTGATCAGTGTTTCTCTAGTCATTTGATAGACAGTGCTGTCCAACACTAGTTTATTGTCCTGGAAATGTTTTAATATGTTTGGAGTCTCTTTATCCTTTTCTTTTTGTTGCCAAAATTCTGGATTTCCATTTTCAAGTTTGGTTTGCTGTGGTAACAATTCTTGTGAGTGGAACTCCCAATTAACAGTCTCTGGTGAAGAATGAAGCTCCTGGTTTTGGTCTGTCTTCTCGACATCTTTGTTTTTGTCATCTCTTCCTGTCAGTCGATCTTTGAGCTCACCCAACAGGTAAACTATGCTGTGCCACAGAATGATCATCTGAAGAGTGAAATATAGCAACAAATTTAAACGAGGACTGAAGTACAAGGAAAATACTACACCTGTCATGATTGCCATACCATATCTATAACTGTACTGTACCTTTATGGAACTACCTTTATAGCCAAAGATATTTATAAGCTCAAAAGTCAATGCACTATTATGCAATACTTAAGCTGAATAGTGAACTCATTTGTATTATCACTGACAAAATCCCTTTATGACAATAAGCTGGTCACACTGTATGGTAGAAACCTCTTAATCCCAGCAGTGTACAATAGCAGGTACAAAGACCAATGATTGGTTTATGAAGATGAAAAGAAATGGAAGAACAGTTCCCTGGCAGACTGTTCCATCATTACAAATGCTGACATGTCTTGATTAAATATCCTTACCGTGAAATAAGACTATTCCATCAATTACTAATACTGACATGTCTCATATGAATATCTTCACCGTGAAATAAGCAATAAATCACTATGAAGACCTACTAGTCAGCTGACTTGTAATGCACTTAAGTTGGTAAAAGTCTGGTCATTTATGTAAATAACAAGATGTAGCAATCTGGATGCACCTTGTAAGAGATGCTAATTCAGTTGATAATTAACTGGCAGCCATTTATTTCCCAGGTAATGGAAGAGAAATCGTGACACCTGACATGGTCGATAATTGTGTCGTGACATCTGATATCATCTTCACAATTATGCAGAAACAATGTCACAATTTTGGGGGGATCCTCCACAATTTTCTGTATCCTATCAATTATTACCAGTACTGCCAACTTCCAAACTGAAATTAAAGCATTCTTCATCTCTACGCTTTGAAACAGTGAATAATTATGTGTAATGTCTTTCTTGCAATTTTACTTGGTGGAGGAAATTTAATTAATAACAAAGATGAAGTGCCTTTTATTGACAAATCTTCCTGGAAAGAGGGTAGTTTTAACACAAGAAAACCCTGTTTAATGTCTTTTTAATGGCAAGATTGCTGGAGAGGAAAATGAAATGCATAGTTGATCACAATTAATGCATGTGTAACATCACATCATTCTTGTATAAGTGAGATAATGGTGGAAATTGATGATTGAAAATGCGTAGAAAATGCTTTATTGTAACATTTATATTCTGTCCTTGTTCCTTAAAATCCCTAAAAATAGTGCCCTTTCATATTTTTCAAGACATGGTATACATTCCTGTAACAACTCCGCATATTCTTGTTCAGTTAAGTCTCTTACCTGGCTCAATAAACTTTAAGTTCGGTGGATTGACTTTCCATCCAGGACACAATTTAGAGGTAGAAAATATATCTTTGGCTCTTTCTTTTGGGAATAGAGGCAGATTAATGCTCTGTTGTGTCCTACAAGTTCAGACTTTTTCAGAAGGAGCCCTGCACAAGAACCTGTCTGTTAATTTGATACAGGTCTACACTCTTGGCTCAGGTAAGAAAAAATAGCTGTAGCAAACACCTGCAATAAACTTTATACTTGACACTGATACCACACACAACAAAGGCTGCCTTGTCCTAGTTATCTAAAGAAGGAGGCCAATATTTTGAATTTAAACCTATTTATAATAACAGACATTTTTAACATTCCAAAATACTCAAAACCACATGACTGATATCCTTTTGTCATACAATTAATTGCTTTTCTTAGGGCAAGATGCTTGTAGAGGAGTTAAAGGGATAATAACTCTTCGTATGAGATCTATATTTCACAACAAGTACATTGTAAACTCATAGAAATATAATAATATTCTATTTCACCACAAAAACGACACTTATAGCAATAAATCTGAAATAATGTGCTCGTCATCTACCCACGTGACCTCCATAGATGGCTATACTCTGTAATAATATCTTATTCAGAGATTATTACAAAAAACAAACTTTTTAGAAAAAAAAAAAAAAAAACAGGGACTAACTTTGAATGTAGAAATGGATTAATTAGCCATTGGTAAGTATGGGAAAATTGCTGTTTACCCCAGGAAAATTAATTTTTTGGCCAAAATGAACATTTGTTATCCCTGTTGGGTGTTTATCATGGACAATTTTGGCATAAAAACAAGTTCAAAATTTAGACTTTGAAGCTCCAAGTAGTTATGTGTTTATTTAACTGCTTGAATTTAATAATGATTCAATTAAAAAAAAAAAAAAAAAAAACAGCCCGAGCTCAACACCACAACATCAGTTTTTTGAGCTCATGTGCTATCCAGAAAATAATCACCTATGAAATGTTGAGAAAAAAATTCCAACCAAATGTACCATTTGAACTCTTTTTCCACCAGGAACTACTTGACTCAAAAATAATTTAAAAAGAAAACCTATGTCAGTGTAATGGGGCATATACCTGGAAATATTAACTTCTAGATATTTGAAAAAAAAAAAGATTTTAAAAATTCACATAAATAAACAAGCTTTTTATCTTACCTTCTCCAGGTGAGCGTCTTCATACATGAGGCACTGAAGACTTCTCTGAGCATCAATGTATGCGCGAGTGTGATTAGTGACACACAAAATGACAGGTTAGATGGAAAGACGTGTAGGGTTACACGTTTACAACCCATCATGAGGGCTTTGTGAACCAGACCCTGCGACTTTGAAGTAATCAAAGGGCCCAGCCAACCTGTACCCCTATTATTACTGGCAATAGAGCACATAATGAAAAGCCCCTCTAATCTCTTATGAATCACCTTTGTCACCCCGGTTCATATTATCCAATCTATCTTCATTTTTGTCATGCATGCTTTTGTCATTGAAATAAAGTTGTCTGGAAACTCTCCCTTTGAATTTGTTCTGCTCAAATAAATTCTGTTTACTTAACATCTTTCAATTTCGCTTTCAATTATTCATATCTTTGGATTTCATCTAGAGGTTACTGACTAAGAAGATACTTTTGTATACAAGGGGTACATTTTGATTTGATTTTTTGCTGTAAGCCATTGTATGACTTACTTTTTACGTAAATTTGATTGATAAAAGTTAACCTGTGTTTTCAGCCTGTTATGTTGTCAACGTACAGTGTCAGGTATTTGCTTGATGCATTATCAACCAAAGTCAACAAAACAAAATAGTAGCATTATCTTCAAAGATAGATGCTGCTTTGATCTCAGATACAATTTGCTTTTTCCTTTTTTTGGGGGGGGGAGGGGGGGATGTTTTTCCATTACACTTTTAAATCGGGAAGTGTTTATAGAGAAAAATAGAATAACATTTCTTAGATATTTAGGTTTTTATTATACACCTTAAATGCTTCAGTTCACCTTTCCATGTTATCTGATCATCTGGCAGCTACACATGATGTTATTAATATAACTGCAGGGCATGAAGATTTAATAACCTTTACTTCCGCCCTTTATTCACCTCTGATATCACATGAGCCATCTCTCCTATTGTCAGCATTAAATTTTCCTGTCACAGGACGCTAAATAACACTTCAGCATCCTTTACGCACTGGGTCCCCAACATCAATGTAATATGATGTAATGCAGGCACACAAAAAGCTGCAATACTTTAAGTCTTCCTGGTCGTTTTCAACTGGCATTGTTGTAAGTTGATTGCCTTGTGCCCCTGACACACAATTCCATATATTCCAGGTGTGTACAAATTTCCAGCTTTTACACACACGTAATTATATTCCGTGCAGGCACCACAGAAGCAAATGTACTTGATAATAGGGAAAACAACCAACTAATTAACATTTTTCTCCTTTGAAAACTGCCATTTTTCATACTTTGGCGTGGGGAAGAGAGATTTTAAAGTAACACTTGTTCATGTCTGGAATATGTATTAAATCAAGTTATTTCAGGCATTTAGATGCCTGGGACCCTCTCTGTTATCCAGCACTTCCACAAAGGCCTCAGAAACCAGCAGTCTGTAGCTGGTAAACCCTTGGGCCCTTTTTCAGAAGAAAGCCTTGGTTGTTTAAAGAACTTATGAAGTCTTCAAAATCCCGAACTTGAATTCCAGCGCTCTAAAGTAAAACACAAATGATACATTTAGGCTTTTATGCCAAATTTCACAGCTGTTATCTCTTCCACCTACAATTAGTTTTACATTTCAATTTTTTTTCATTTTCAGAATGAACTGTAGGCTTTTGTTCTAGTGTTTTCTTCATCATTTAACTTCACAGTTAAATCATTTCAATGTCACATTTAGTATCTAAAACCTTACCTGGGCTATTTGTCTCATTTCTTGTACAGTGAACAGAGAATTGTAAGTCGTCTCAGACATCTTTTGTAAGGCTGCTATCAGCCTTTTACCCTAGAGTGAAAATAACAATACATTTTCAACCAAAATGATGGAAATTGTTCATATTTTAAAAATATGCAGTCTTAAGTTTAAATGACAATGAGAGAAATATTGGATTTTCAAAATAAATATTAAAAAAAAAAATTTAACCCAAAATTGTTTTTTTGGTGTTTTATATCTTTAAACCACATTTTAAGAACTTTACCTGTGCTTTACTGCTCATCCCAGAGCCATGCTGAGATCTTTCAAAGTCCAGAAATCCAAGTTCATTGCTGTAGGTGTCTATCATGCTGAACAAGAGCAAGAGGATTAGTGAAGAAAAACAATCTGGCCAGCTCTACTGCTATGATAAATCATCTCTTTATAGTACTTATTAACAAGTCAAAATAATTAAATTTATTTTATACCACAAAGACATATATGAGGAATTAGCTATGGAAGTAAACCTATTTGAACATTTTATAGATACATCAAAGAATAAGGTACCAATACGAGCAAGAAAAATATCTTGACTAAAAACATGAAATTTTGCTCAAACTTAAAATGTAATTACAATACAAGAAGCAAAAGCTAAGATACCTAAATTTCATGATATCCACCACATCTTTAGCATCATGCTCTGTGGCTTCCTCACGTAGCTCTAGTCTGGCACGAGCCTGTAAGGTACAAATGCATAAAATTATCAAAGAGATATTCATTACAACAGTTAAATAATATGGAATATCCAGAGTAATTATGTGCAAAGTTCTACAGTTAGTTTATCTAAAAATTGCTGAAGTAACTTAAATAAATAAATAAATAAATAAATAAATAAGAAAAAATTATTTTCAAATCAAATTTGCACAAAACTTAAATAATTATTTATCTATACAAATAAGAGTTGCTGTCACCTCTGTGAGCCTGATCAGAGACTCCAGCTGCCTGGTAGTGATGGGAGTGCTGTCTCTGGACTGGTGCTGCTTTCTCAGATCAAGATAAAATTGCTGAATTCAAAAACAGAAAATTTAGTCTCTGAAACTGGCAGGGTTATCCAATCTACATGTATCTCCTTTTTATTTTTGTTTTAATTTATTTTCAAAAAGATTTAAGTTTAATTTGTAATACCTGTATAACTTTTGCTGCTTCCTTCGTAATTTTCGGGTGAACATATTTTCTTGCATATCCAACATACTGAAAAGCAAAGCATTACAGTGTTCAAGCATGATTAAATTGATTGTAAGTGTTATATTATTTTGGGCTCTGGGTACCCTGCAGTGATATTGCTAGCCCCTAAAAATATTTTTGGAGCTGGTGTGATTAGTTTACCATTTGAATATTGTTTATACCCCAGAAAACAGATGTTGTGACTATTTTCAGGGGCGGATTGAGGCGGTCTTCTGGATCTTCCGGAAGACAGTCAAATTTCTAAGTTTACATTGATGAGTACCTAAATTTTTCTGTCGGAAGATGGTCAAAAACTTTAGATGGATCAACAAAGATAATGTGGAAGACTGTCAGAAAATATCTCTGGGTCCGCCCCTGATTTTTGGGTATTTCAAAAACTGATAATGGACACATAAAGTGCGGCATACCCTGGGCGATTGTTATTCACAATATCCAGTATTGTTGTTTCATTGCCCAGAGTGGGAAGACACATAAAATCCATTTTTGTCTCATGACAACTGAAGTAGCAATTTATATATTTATTTATCATTATTATTATTGTTTTATAAAAGTTAATATTCCTACCTTCCTGAGCAGTTGTGGTGGGATCACATCCAGATTCTCTCCACGTGGTACCTTTATTCTTTCAGACAAGGGTTTATCAGCCTCCCATTCACTATAGGCCTCATTTTGTTCCTGAGACAGAAACAAAGAGTTTTTAAATCAGGAAAGATATGTCACTAAAATGTTAATGAACAACTTGTATGTTCATTATGATCTGTGTCTTGACACATTTGTCTATTTAACATTTACTTGAAGATTAACAAAAATGTCACACTCACTTGATTTCTTCTTGCAGTGGTACCTTGTAATATTCTAAAATCAAATAACATATTATATACAACCACTGGTATTATGAGTATAGATGTTAAATAAACATAAATGATACCAATTCAAAGTACAGTACTGAACAATAATAAAATGGTAAAAAATTGAAAAGAAGTAATTTTTTTGTTCATTAAACCCAATGTACTAAAAATCACAGCATCTTTTTTTTTTCAAGCAGTAGATAATAATTACCTGTGTTTATTATTATTTATTTAATATGAAAAATGTTTACCTCTTCTTTCCTGCATGCATGGCCATCACATGCTCAGATAACATGCTGTCCATCTCCTGAGATAGAAAAACAATTCTTGTATGAAGGTATATATTATTATATGTTTAAGCTAGAAAAAATAATTCATCATCAATAGATTCATGTTAAAAAAATTAAAAACAAAACACTAAGAAAAGGACAATACTTCTATCACATTAATCTTATTGCCATGGTTTTTGCTGAGCTTGCTTTGCTAACTTACCTCATCTGGTTTGTCCAACAAAATGAATACCAAGTCAAACCTGGACAGCAAAGCACTTCCCATCCTAAAGGAAATAATACATGAATGCCAAAATCATTTTCCTTAAAGAGAATATCAATGCACACTTATGGTTCAACTCATCAGTATGAAAATGTATAAAATTAATATCACAGATAAGCCAAATGAAATTCAATGTAATTATCTGTCAAAGCATGTTAGTCGTTGTCAAAATTGTTAGTCAAAGCAATGGTACAAATAATAATAATGAATCATGATCATGCTCACTTGAGATTTTCAGACACAGTTTTTCCTTTGTTGTAATGTCCACCAACTGGATTAGCTGCAGCAAGGATTGATGTCCTGGCAGGAAGACTGAAACATTGAGGAAAAACACATTATTGCCACATAACATACATCCAATCAAAAATATATCGACCTTGAGATTATTTTGATAACTATTCCATTTAAGAAATAAGAAATGTCAGGAATAATAACATAACATTTTTGTTTGCTAGTAAATAACTCTTGTCATATGGTGAAAAAATCACAAGTACTCTATTTGAGGTATGAAGTTTTTTTTTTTGTCATCTTTCTGGGTTGGTAATAACAGTTAAAATAACACCCCTCACCTGCATACTATCCCAGCCTTGGCAATGCTTATGCTCTGCTGTTCCTGAAAGTGATAGTAAAAGGATTTCATTTAAATAAATTGTCATTTTCTAAAAAGAAAATCCCATTACTATTTACAATACATTTCTCACAATAAAGTTAATTCTTGAAAAGTGAACAAAAATCATTTGTGTATATTTTACTAAGTATTAAGCCATATACTAATCTTACCATAGCTTCTAGCAGAGCCTGATGTTGACTGCCCATCTTGTCAAACTCATCAATACAGCAGCAGCCTTGGTCAGCTAACACCAGGGCTCCTGCCTCCAGGGCATAGTCTCCTGATCCTCCTTCCTTGGATAAAGTCACCTAGGATAAGAATGGATTTGTAAATACTGTTTAATAACCTGATATATGCATCACATAAAAAGCACTCTTACCTCTGTGACCTGAATTTTTTTTACCAATTCAAAGAAAATATTCTACTTTCAAGTTGAAATAAAGTGTCTTTCTCATACGTCTATATTTACCTCATATAATTATAGGAATTCAGATATCTTTAACAAGACGAAGCATTGAATAGTATGTAATTATGTATGATTTAAGTTCACAAAACACAATCAGTTTGGCCATCATCACAACAAAATGCAGCTGCACATCTAACACAATGACAAAAGTAAATCATACATAACAAAAATTTTCCGTATGAATGTGTCATGATGCGCACTTTGATCATTAAGGACTTTCCACAAATTTGATGCATAAAAAAATAACCATATAAACAATAACTGTAGTCATCCAAGCCCCAAAACAAGACTTACAGTCAACCCAGAGGAGGTTGTTGTGTTTCCACAAACATACACACTCCTTGGTGCTACTCCTGCTACTGCTTGCAGCATCTGAAATAATATATATATATATATATATATAGATAGATGAATACTACTGATGTCACTAGTACATTTATTTATTTTCAAGATTCTGGTTTTATGGCCTATTAAAAAACATCTGCAACTTGCACAGACTTTGAGACTGCAACTGGAATATTTTGAAAAGTCTGATATCAGACAAAAATGAGGACAACATACAATCTTTCAAAGGGGTTTGAATTACTCAATATTTGTTACAGTTAAAATATGATGGCTGGCTTGGTGCAATATAATAAAAACATAATCAATGAGACAAAGAATTTGTTGTACAAACTTGACTTTTTCCAAGACCAGGATCACCAACAACTAGAATGTGAGGGTCACCTCTAACTGGGATGCGGTTCTATAAGAAAATAAATAAATAAATAAAATAAGTAGCCCCAGGCCAATTGTTCAATTGGAATAATCCTTAAGACATGTATACAAAAGTCATGATTAGTGTTATGCTCAATAAGAGATTACATGAACTAATGACATATAATCACTGACAATAAAGATAAAGCATTAACCACTGAAGTATATATTTTCACTGTACATTTACAGGAATACACACAGACAAATGATCTTATTCTAAAACCAAAGAGGGTTAAAATCATTACATAATAGTTATGCAGTTTTTTCTACATACCTTGTCATTGGCATATTTTTGTGATCCTCCAAATAAACCTAGAACAAGGCCAGCTTTCACCATCTAAAATTTTTCAAAATATTTCAAATAAGCAACCTTGGTTAAAATATAAAATGTTGATACAAATTTAACACATGGCTTAAATTAAAAATACCGACAAGAAATAAATGGGAAATAAAATAAGATTTACAGTATTTGTGTTCAAAAATATCTTTTGCGATAAAATAAAATATTTACCTCATGTCCATATATAGAGGGGCAAAGGGATCTAAAATGAAAAAAAAAGGCTGACAGATAAAAAGTAATGGAGGAATGTTTTCTTTACTGAAACCACTTTTTGCTGATTCAGAAAACATTTATTTTTTCTCATTCATTTGCTTTATGAAAATAAAAATATTTCCTCACTGGCTAAATGTGAGACCACCAGAGACAAGTAACAAATTAAGTCATTAGTTTGCTTACCCCACAATAAGTCTGAACAACTTCTTCTCACTCTGTATCTCCTCTATAGCATACAATTCTTTGAGGGTGAAGTCTATAGCCAGCCCCTGTTCTCCTGCACCACTCTTGGGACCTTTGCTGTTGTTCACAGAGTTAGCATGGAGGTACAGCAAGAACATGCACTTGTCTTTGTTTCTGCCTCTGCCTTTAAAAAGGGAGACAACAAATGTTCTTTAGATAAAAGCTGATAGATCAACTTGTATCAAATTTTATGTTTCAATTAGAGAAATTACTAAATTATTGTGTTATTCATAAGTTGTTGTATTCTATTAATTATTGTCTAAAATTTAAAACCTAGTTTCAACTGAAATCCTATATCAGAAAATTTACAGGAATTTACACCAGAATTGCAAGGTAATTAGAGATACTCTACCTTTCTCTGTACTTGTTACTTTGACTATTCCAGATACTGTGACAATGTCTCCTGGTACACAGCTGTCCACTGCAATAAAACATAAACAACTGGCCTGAATAAAACACTACAAATTTGAAGCAGATCCAGACATGCTGGAGTGACTTTTACAAATACATTTTTAGCCAGGTACTGCACTCATTCTGGGAGGTTGAGAGGTGGGTTGGAGGATCAACTTTTCAGCCCCTTTCTTTCTCAATATCCTTGATCTACAAGTGCATCTGCTGTGAAAAAATATGCAGTTGAATAACAGAGGTTTTAAACTATACATACAATGTTTTGTTTAATTTAATTTTCCTATACCTACTAATGTACACACTAATATATTCCAAAAATATCAGTCAAGATTTACAGTACCTAGATCATTTGTAAGTTCACAATCCACTGTTCTGGGTATTCTTCCAGAGTCCCTCATGTCATCAGTGATGATCTCCTGAACCCTGGGAATAAAGCAGAGGATTTGTACTTCATAGAATTAAAACTGCCCTTACCAAAATGAAAAGATTGCAGCAATATTGCTGCAAACTAAAAGTTTGCAAGAACAATTTTATTGCAGCTTATTTGCAGCCATATTGCAGCAAGTTTGCTGCAAACTCCCTGCCAATCTGCAGCAGGTCTGATATTTTGCTAAGGATGTGTGAGCATAAAACATTATTCAGTCTTAAACTAGCAACAGTGTCAATCAAACCCTCTCTGCAACAGAGCAGCACAGCAGATTCTCATATATAATATCATTCGTCATATTTCTTCAGTTTTCCAACCAAGAGAAAAATCTGAAACACTTACAGATGCATATACTACAGACGCATGCAGACAAAAAGCATGATTCATGATCTTAAAGTATGATTTTATACTTACCTTATTGTCTGCCAATCAATAGTTTCTGTAAGATGTGAGCTCCTCAGTGGAATAAAAGTCCTGGCCTTACAATTGGTATTCACACACTAACAAGAAATAAATGTCTTTGTCATCATCACTTTGCGAATAACAGAATAAGGCACCATAGTTAATACAGAAATATCTTCAAGTTAGAATAAAAGTATAAATAGCTTCAAAATGTTTTAGTATCACAGAAAAGAAAGTGTATGAAACAATCAAATGAATTAAAAATAACTCTTAATAGATATCGACTCACCTTTGTTGGGACAACATATTTGCCATCTGGAAGAATGACACTCTGGAAAGTGGAATTGAAACTGACTAAGGATAATGGTATTTATAATTGACTGCGAAAGACGAACAACACAACATATTAACCATATTTCCATATGCATCTCCAGCCATTACATCAAAAGGTAAGGGCCAAACCTACATCTTCTTTTACACATTTAAGACCCTTTTTTGGTTTTGAAGCGTAAGCTTAAAGCACAACTGAGCTCTGTATTTTTATTATATGAATAGAAATGTTGTACAAATGAATAACAAACCCCTGCCCCCTTACCTGTACTGTCCTACAGCTGTTGCATTCAAATGCCATCTTGGTGCAGAGAGGTTTGATGTTACTCACTCTCACCACTGTGCCTTTCACAGAAACAAACTTGCCTAAAATTAAGTCATGACAGAACTGTCCATCAACATTTAGTACGGAATTTAAGATTTTTTTTTTTATAAAAGTAAACATATCCTTCATTACTTGTACAACTTATGCACAAAATTTTTCATAAAATAATACTGTGTTGTAAAACATGGATGTGGCATCACAAGCATGCCCCAGATACGAAAACTTTATTAAAGGACTGAACAATCAAATATTCTAACAATGAATTCTAACACTAAAAGTTCATATAAATGTTTAAGTATACATCCAAGATCTCCATGTAACTGTACTATTCAATGCAGCATTTTAATTAATTAATTTCAATTAAAAATTTAATTAAAGTTTCTTATCCACAGTTATTTTACCATAGTAATGTGCCTTCAAGTTCTTGAGCTGTGTTATAGGTTCATGATTCAGAATCCTGGCATGGATGACTGGCAGGCTGTATGGAGCAGACAGAGGAGGTAGGAATGGATCCTCACTGTCACCTTGAACATCCTGCTCCAATCCACTGGACAACACCTGGAATTCATGTTATACCTTCATTGTGCAGGTAGGATGTGAAAGGTGTGGGTTGAATATGGAAATTAAAACATTAACATACTTTATTGAATCTTGGGGCCAACGTGCAAATTTTCATTTATTATAGACTATATATTATACTTTTTAGTTAACATATATAATTATAAATAATTAATTGTAATGAAATGAATACTAGAAATTTCCTAAAGATTCTTAACATAAAGAGACACCTTAGCATCTTGATCAAAATATCAAATTCTGCAATTGAAATTCAATTAGATATAAATATATTGCAGCATTCATTTGCTGCATATGTGGATTGCTGGAATAGATTGGTATAGATAACCAACTGCTAGCATAGAGTACCTGATGTAAAGCCAGTCCAATAGCATTCACCATTTGCTCTGGCATCTCTTTCAGTAAAGCTGCCAGATCAGATAAACCATCTTGTATTACTGAAATACATTTAGTAAGTTGAATCATCACAAATAAAATTTAGATAGTAAACAGTTTAGGGTATGATCTAATAAAATATAACATATATTTAATTAATAAAGAACAAGTGGTTTTTCTTTAGATGAAAAACCATTCAAAGGAGGCAATGATAATATAAAAGGTCCAAATGAAAAATTAAAGAATATAAGAAAATACTTAATGGACATCACTTAACAGCCAGCAAAATATTCCATTGCTAACTAACTTACATCAAAGTTATCAATACAAAGACATGCAAGCATTTGTATCCCTCACCTGGATCCTGACACAGTTCTTTGAAATCAACTGTAAAATGTCCTTTAGATTCAATGTTTTCCTGAATAAATGCAAAGATGATGTTTTTAAGAATTCACACTTATAAAATTGAGTTTTTTAAAGAAAACATTTATTTTTTAACACTCCAATAAATCTTTTAATAGCCTATACATGTCTACATATAGATACATAATATTATGACATTTGCTTCTTTTTAGACTCAATTACAACTACAGGTATCAAAATACACAATGTGCATAACTGCTTCACAAAGATGTGTAACACATGGTTCTTTAAAGGTACTTACAGCATTATACAGTGCTTTCCAGTTGATGAAGTACTTCTCAAACACTTGAACCCTGGTCACAGTAGGTGAATGTGGAGAGTACGCTGTATAGGATATAAATTATTCAAACACTTCATTTTTTACTAAAAAATCATAATCATCATAAATACTTTTTTCTAAAACAGTATATGAAACTAGGTTTTAAACTATGGCCACCATAGCACAGGATGCTAATGAAATCAATTGGTATTATGTGTCAACGTCTTTAAATTTTTAAAGGCTATTAAAATAGATTAGAATTATAGTAAAATTATTCTTACAACCACACAGCATGTATCTGTGAAATTTCAAATTAAATTCTTAATGGTTCTATGGTCTGTATCTTGATGTGTTAAGCTATAATATATACCTTCCTCTGGGAAATAGAATCTCCATCCTTTGTATGGTGAAGGGTGCATTGCTTGAACAACCCTGGGCTGACTGCTGGTGGGTTTAGGTGGTCCACCTGCCACAACAACTTATTATGTATTTTCTACATGAATGCATTCAAACAATACCACTGAATAAACAATAACAATGACAGATTATTTAGATATATGTAGGTAAATCAAGTTTTAATCAACATTGAAATGGCCTATTTTTGGATGGATGTTGGATTTATAAATTACATGCTAAAGTGATGCAGATGAAATGTTTTTAAATTATTGAAACAATATCTAATTCACTTTAACAAAACAGGGTGAAATAGGTTACTTACTGTTTTTGTATAAGAACAATAAATTAAATGCTCTAAAGTGACCAAGGCCCTTTGAAATTGATTTAGGGTCAAAAGAGCATGCATCATAAATAAAAAACACAGTTGATCTCTTAATAAATTATTTCTATTACAATGAAACACTACTGTCAAACATCTCATGGTACACATATCATCCTGGTTGCCTTAGATGAGTACATCAATTATTCTAGATTTACCTGCTGCACCTTCTCTTCCTCGTCCATAGTGATTGAAATAACCTCCTCTACCTCTCCAGTTTCCCCGCCCACCTCTCCAGTTTCCCCGCCCACCTCTCCAGTTTCCCTGCCCACCTCTCCAGTTGCCATGCCCACCTCCCCAGTTGCCACGCCCACCTCTCCAATTACCACGCCCACCTCTCCAGTTACCATTACCAGGGCCTCCACTTGACTGGCTCATCTGTAATTGGTCATGTTAAACAACAAATAAAATCTTAGTTCAAACATAAAAGGTATATCGAGTGAAAAACTTGGCAGTCCTTTAAGCAAGAATGTCAAATAAAAATATAGAAATATCTACATGTACTTCATATGTTTTTCATGTAAATGTGCAAATGTCACAGAGATTCTCTAACAACCAAAAGTGAGGATAACTGATATCAGAAAAAAATAAAAAAGAAGTTGGTTTGCAAGAAGACATTTCCCATCAGATTCTTATTTGGAAAATCTAACCCCCTCCCCCCAATTCTTAGGTCTCCTCCAACTGACATAGACAGGAAAAGTGGGAATGGAGATTTGGATATATAGTCGTATTTAGGTGGGCCAGATTAAGACATCAAATCAGGACAATGCACTATTTAATAACTGAGCAACCATCATCACCAATGATGAGAGCAAGCAAAGACGAACAGGCAGAGGGTTGGACGAAAGAACAGATCATCATAGATGACAAGAAATTGGCAGTAGCCCATAAGAGCAATTTTTGAGCCAGATTTTTCAGTCTTTTACTCGATTATTCTATGTTCTTTATGTCCACTTTTGCCTTATTACAGTCTGGCAGCAACAACATTTGTTATCCAAGCCGTAAAAAGCTGGAAATAAAAATATGGATACCATAAATAGCTTAGCTATATTTACCTGATAAATCGGCTAACCCTAAAGTTTCCAGTGCAATAAATTAGTTCCAGACACCCAATATAGTTAAAATCACTTCTTTTGTATTTACCTTATTGATCTCTATTTTAAGATGCTTCCAAAGTCGCTGAAATATGCTACATCTTCATAAAATTTGACACCCGCCACAAATCAAAAGGACGCTTTTCTACAAATTGGAGGTAGGAAATTATGTAAATTGTACGATAGATGTCGCCGTGTCAGAGAAAAGCCAATCACGCGATCCAATATCTCTCTCAGTGCTTGCCCGACCTCTCGTAACTCTGGGCCAGTTTCTGGTTTTGTTGTATCCATTACATTTTTGAGTTCTTAAATAGCTAAAAATATCTTTAAAAACCACCTTTGATTTTACTATACCACTTTGTTAACGTTTCCAGTAGGATTAAACGGAAAATAAACCGAGGTACCCCATATAATTATTGCATAAATTAAATCATACCTTCAAATAGCAGGACTAAATATACCCCCCCCCCCCAAAAAAAAAAAAAAAAAAAGTCATTCTATCTTTTTTTTTTTTTTTTTTTTTTGTCAAGTAATTTGTGTCAGGTATGCCTTGATATTAATGATAAATTTAGACCCCCTTTAACAAGATGTCTTTCATACATACACCGTGTGAAGTAAATGGCAAATGACACCTATAATCATACTCTCCAACCATTTATGGGTACAATTTCTCATCGAAGGGAGGGACATTTTACTATGTACAGGCCTGGGGGCGTCTCGATAGTCCGAAGGTTCTATAGTGAACATTCGGACCAATGAACCTTCGAACTATTGAACCTTCGGATCATTGCTACGGCCCCGCAGGCCTAAATATTATTGTTCCCTGAAATGTAATACGATAGAACCTGAAGAGTTTTCGATAGACCTAAGCACTGTGGCTAAAGCTAGCTTACCCCCTGACCACAGGGTGCGCTAGTAGGCCTACCTGTGGTTAATTACAAAACGTTTGTATCCCACTTTATATTGTATACTAGTTTAGAAGCCCCTGATACCAGAAGGTAGCCATAGCTAGGCCTACCCGTTTTACAGTGGCCTACCTGCACCAACTCTCTTACCTTTCGTCTTTCACTCACCTTCGATTTACAGGTATTTGTTCCATCCATTCTGACCCACCCTTTAAAATGATATCAAACATGGATCTGAGGGCTTCGATCGATGAGTCCTTTTTTTTATTCGATCATTCGATTTCAACTAATTGGTGTCAGGTAGCGGAAATTTCGTTTCTTTGCTACAAAATTAAGTGTTTACATGGCCAAGTCATCCTTTTACGTTAGTAACTATGAATTTGAAAGCCTTAGCGTGTTTTTTAAATTGCAAAATCGATTTAGGTGGTTGAATTCTCAATTCCAGTTTGCTAAAAAGGGAATTGGAAAGGGGGGGCAGCAAGGGCGGGGTCGTTTGATAAAGCCTGTGGATAATAAAGTCCAGTTGTAACTTTAGCCATTACAAGGAAATATGAAATAAAGTAATTAGGTTAAAGTCTTATATTGGCAAACATAATCAACATTAATCAAGCTTTCTGGAGGGCAGAACGCATTTGACTCTCTATCCGGAGTAGGTTTTAAATGAACGTTTTGTGGATGGCATTAATGAACTGCTAGTTACACTGGCGGAAATTATATTACACTCAGTACATTTGTATTTTATCTTCTAATTAGGACTCATACAAGATAACAAGGTGATTACTGTAGGCTACCGAAGCCAGTCGAAAGATATCCCTAAAACGAGTTTCCATATAAATTGATCCCCAATATTTAATCTCCAACAAGAGATCGGGTAGTAATGTCGTAAAATAAAATGTATAACAACAGTTTCGCTTGCTTTGGAACACATTCGCTTTATGATACTTTTCTTTTGTATTGTATAGGTCAAACTGAGACAAAGAGGATGATTGCCATAAAAGTCAGCTGAACACCCAACGAACAGTTGCCAAATATGCTTGCTGAAAACAATAAAAAGATAGGGTCGATAATCACTGGAATTTTGCTGTTTGAGTTCCGAGTTGGCGTTTTCATGCCAATTGAACTCCGACCGATCCACAGATGAAGCGGCGATCTATGAATCAGCCCATTGATGATGATGGTACATCAAGTCAAGTTATCATTATTGCCTCAATGACACACGGAAACGTGAGTATCAGAAAAGCTTGTTAATTTTTAAATTTTCCATTTAATTGTGCCTTAATTTTAACTATCTTAACGTTAAGAAAACAGATTAAGCGTCATGGCCTGATGCTTGTTTGATCTTCACAAGAAAATAGATGGTGGATCTCGACGTCTGGGTCAGGGGCTCAGGTGTGGGGTAGGTTACAGTTGAGAGCTTGAAGATACATGCTATGGACAGCGTTTGTACTGGTATTACACTATGAAAGGTTGAAAACGAAAAAATAAGATATTTCTCCGATATTGGAAGTTTGAACAGTTGGTATTTTTTACTTCTGAATATTTTTCATGGAATGCACGGGTGTTTGTCTTAATTTTTAAGAAAATCAAATCGATAAATCTAACAGTAACATTTGGCTTTGCATATTAAACAAAGAAATCCCCTACAGTCTCAAAGGTATATCACAGCCAAATTGAGTGCATTATTTTTCCTTTGCATCACATGCGCAGGACTGCTGCAAAAAGTGGTAAGTAGTAGTTTGTCATGATGATTCAACCGAGCAACGAGTAATGGTGAAAGGAGTGCATTTAAGAAGCCTTCAACTGACCATATAACGTCCTACTTGGATCATTATATAACAGTCTTTTGGCTCCTTTTTTCCTCGGGTCTACATCAATATCACCGTTATTACAAGCCATTAGTCCACCGAGTTCCTAACTGAGAATTATCCTACAGATGAACGTTTTTAATACCACGTTCCTTGTACTTGCCTTAAACCGAGAGATAAAGGTACTTGATTTTCTTGCATTGTCACTTCACTTAAAAATCCAATTTGGGCATTGGTATGGATATATTTTATAATTCGAAAGTGACGCAACATGCCTTTGGGGTATAAGCACAAAGGAAATAGAAATATTAAGCTCATCGCATGTACAGCCCATTAATGCAGTTTACTCATAACAAGCAAAAGCATAAAGGCCAATGTTTGCTACTCAAATAACTTCCTTCAATACAAGAAATTGATTATGAAAATACATTTTGGCGCGTATGTGTTATTTGATGACCCTTGTAAAGAGGTTTAACACCCTCGAGAAAAATAATCGCATAAAACATAATTTGTTGAACGGGTATATAGATAAATGATTTAATCATAAACAGGTAGTGTGTGTACTGAACCATTGTGTTGTACTCTAATTTTGGTAAATAATCAATGCTTTTTCATCTTGGTCTATTTAATGTTTCATGTAGATTTTTCAATTCGATAAATTGTGCACACGGCAATTTTAAGCTATGAAAACCAATTTCTAAAAAATGTTTTCAGGAAAAACATTTCATATTTTTCTTCTTAATCAATGCATTATGTTATAATGAATCAATCTGAAAAATGACTAATTCCCAAATGATGCAGAAGCGGGTTTTAGATTTGACGCGGCGTAAGCAGTTCCAGAGGGTGGCCGGGTTTCTGCCCCACCACCCAACCATCCCAAAGTCTGAAAAAACTAGTGCTCATAATGTTTTGGTAATGTTTTGTTGGAGGGAATAAAATACCAGCTAAACTTTCGCCCCTACACCACTTCTTGGTACCCTGGGACTGTTGGAGCATTGCATGCAAAAATTGCCAACAAATGGTACTTTTAAAATCACTATTGTAACAGTGACACAATTGGCTTGTATACAAAAACACTTAATAAATCGATGTATCTTGTTCAAAAGGTTTCCCAAATGCTTTCTTCTATATGTTACAAACGCCCAGGGTTTTCTGGCGATAATCTGTTTATATGTTACTTTCTGTCTCCTAGAAGAACGCCTATCTTCAATAGTACCGTTTTTGTACAAATGAATATCTTAACATCCATTGCTTTTTTAAACTTCAGTTCCTGAATTGGTGACAGATCTGGATACCAAGTTTCCAACATGGATAGGCTCGAGGAGTAAGTATTCAGAGCGTAAAGGGCTGTGTTTCAGTCATATATTTCAATGAACAAATTTCAGCTTGCTTTGATTGGAATTGTCGTGAATTTGATTAGATTTTCGAGCGACCATTATGTCCACTGTACAATGGAATCTATTATAGGCCTTTTGCACCAAGATGACGAGATCTTGACTTCTTTTTTTACTGAATAGTTTGCACTCCAGCATTCTTTTGGTTACTGGAGAGCAAGCTCTGCTGTAAAAAAAAAA